AACTAGCACGAAACCTAGGTCCAAGGCTTCCTGCCGATTGCCTCCAACCCCCTAATATCTCTTTTGTATGCACAGCTCCGGTTTTTCTATATGAATGGCCAGAGCATCAGCGATAAAAAGAAGACGAAACCGTATTGCCTTTGGTAAGTTATTCTTGACTCTATGGTTTACTCTGAAGCAGGAGACCTTCTGTTGAAATGGAATGATCAGTGTTAACCAGGTGTTCAAATATCGCACCGCCATTGCCTTTTCACAACCATGCTGGATAGTGTTCTTGAATCCAATTGTCAATTGTTTATCTGGCATTTTAACACACTTCAGTTGGCAGTAGAAACAAAATGTGGAACAGTCAACAAGAATAATGAAGCCGCGTATGTGCAAGGACGAAGAATGAATTATTTTGATGTGATGAATGCAGGAGACAAATTAACGAAACCGAGTTAATACAACAGGCATGATTTACTGCGTTCTTCTGTATACCTTGACAAACTTCTGTGAGTCACGCAAAGTTGAATCTTACGTCCAAACAATATTATTTCAATACATAAGTCTGATACATGACTCAAGAATTGTGTGGATGATTTCATCTTAAACCTAGTAGAGAATACTTGCCTCAATTTTAACGTAAGAATTAACTAAGAATCTGGTCCTAGTAATCTTTATTTTGTTGTTGGGACTCATTTTCCTTGTATTTTCATCATTTGATTTGCTTTTATTGGCGTTATTTTCATTCATTTTGTGTGGCATCTTCTTCTTCTAGATGGCTGGTGTGGGATACGCTACACGATGTTATTGGACGTTCGGGAAACTTCTCAATGACGGTGAATGAATTACAAGATACTAGGGAATGGTCAACTTCTACAAATTATCCTCCACAAAGTAGAGTCATCTCTTGTGAAACAGAGTGAACATGTTTTCAAGGGCTGGCAGCAGCAGCTGTTAAGTTCTGACTATTCACATCCACCTGTAATTCTCTTAAAAGCATCTGACGAAAGTGAACCTACACCACCTAGATTAAATGGCATAGAAAGCTAGTCTCATGCTTAAGTGAAGTCGAGATAATCTAAAAATGCTATAAATGCTGTATCCCATTCACCACTAAAGGATTCTAATTGAATTTACAGCGACGAAGCTTTTGTCCGTCTAACGAGGAGGAATTTATCAGACTGTTCGGGAGACAAAACGAGTGACGACAGCGAAACAAAATCAAATGAGTATCAGAGCGATTATAGCGATGAGTATAACTGTAATATATCTAAATGTCTTAAATTTTCGGGATTTCCATCACCTCCTAGGAAGGAGCCTATCAAGACTAAGTCACATTGATCGTCCATCAAACAAGTCATTAAATGGCTGTAGGTGTACGAAAGTACAGGATTCTCGATGTCTAGTTAGGCAAAGTTTGTTCGAACCACGTGTGGTCAATTCTACTCGTTTGTAAAAGTTAAATCAACTGGAGAGGTAGTTGAAGCTGTAAGCGACTGCACTGACTCCTCTACTGTTGATGGCAATCTAACAAACTGAAATAGTTGGAGAGAAGTCGACCTATCACGTGAATGTTCTCTTAAGTGGCCTGGTAGACTAAGTTTAAGCCAAACAACGTGTGGCCCTCATCCAACATAATCGATCAAGGTGAAATGCAAAGTAACCTAAAATAAGATTGACAGTTACTAGGCACTTAACTACATTCATAGTTTCACTCTTCGCTCAATGGTTGAAAAATTGTTACCATTGATAGTTTTGAGAAGATTATCAACAATGGTTTTGGAGAAATAAGTTTGAATGTATCCATAGCTAACTTACAACCTGCAATGCTGTCGTAGAGAGTGGTCTAAGTATTCACTAATTTTAGTCCAAATTAGGATACGAGAAGTGATGTGATGGTATAGGAATCATGAAGAAGTGAGTGAAGTTTTAAGGGTACGAAATCTTAAGGAATAAATGTTGATTGCAAATTATGTAGGTTTCTGTTTGCTTCCGAGGAGATGTTGGCAGTTGATAGTAGGCAAGCTGAGTAGATTGTGACAGATGTCATATGTACGTGAATCTAGTGTTGAGGTGGGCAAGCAGCTTACACAACCAATCACAGAAACAGCATATATGGACTTAATCACTGATAAGATGAATGAGAAGCAATCACAGTAAGGTGGTCTTCTGGAGGCCTTATTATTTGTTTAGTAAGAAATCGTACAGAATGAATTGTGATTTTGTCGAAATATTTACCTATGACTTACAGTTCTGTGAAATTGTTGAGCAGGTTAGAATTAGTAGTGAGCAGTTAAAAATGGATAGCAACTTGTAGGTGACGTACGTGACGGTTATGTAATAGGGACGGATTACTCATACTTGAAGAAGCCGAACTAGGCATGAATATAGTGAAATGATTACTAGAAATTGCAAGTGTGCCAGGGACTGGAAAAGAATGCACATCAGTTCGTTTAAAATAGTGCTTTGTTTAGCATACAGCCAAGTCCCAGTTTGAGTGGGATATTGGTCAGGCTTGTTTTATTATGGAAACAGGCGTAAACAAGAATAAGACGGTAGAAGTTTAGGAAAGTTTGTTGGGGTACACATACATCCATAACGAATTATTGATGGAATGGAGACGGTCACTAATCGAAGGCTATACAGGTTTCTTAAGATGGTATTAAGCAACCTCAACCTTCCAGTAGGGTAGGGTTATATTGATAAGCGTTGAGTTTCCGTCCTATTAGGTTGTAATCCTGAAGAACTTCGTTGGAGAGCGTGGCATGTGTTTAACTCGTCCACTTATTCAGAGAGTTGAGATTGTTTTAAAGAAAAGTCCACTCTACTACATTATTACTTAGGTCCTGGAAGTAACAGTGGATACGCTGAAAGCTTCTAGTCGTAGACGTATTCTCGAACTTATTTCTTAAGTGATGTGACCAATATGTTCCGCTACATTGAATTCAATATAACATTGAAACTCGAGCAGTGAAACAAGGGATAATTCCACTCTAGACATGTTCATTTAAAACAACACTGTTAATACGTGGATGATGTTTCCAGCACAGTTTCTCGCAGATAACTATATCTATGCAATGCGATTTTCCGCATATCCGGGATGCGCATTACTTCATTACGGTTTAATGTATCTGACGAATCAAGATTTGGTGATTGGTATCTCTCCACGTGAATATATTTCTCTTTGGTACCTTTACCTCACCTCACCATGTTGTGTGATAACAAAATAGATCGATAACAATGGCCCAGCTAGTTTCTAGTGTACTCGAATGAGCGGGGTCAATAATTCAGGAACTAACTAAATTCAAGGTCTCGTAGATGCTTAGGATTTGCATGATCCCACTGAAAGTAAGTGTTTATGTAATCATGGCAGGAGGTTGACCAGAGTCCAAGGAAATCTACGTAACAAAATCACACAAATGAGAATGACATTTCTACTGAGTAACTCCCCTGCAGAATTCATTCTAATTGTTTATAGGCTATAAGAAAAAGAGCAGGATTAATGTGAATCAAGGAAATAATGGCTGATTTAATAAATAACAATAATCTGCTTTATTCCAAAAACAGCACTACTTATAATACAGAATGGAATTCGCAGCATTTGTCACAATACTGCATCTGATTTACTCTAAATATAAATAAAATTAATCGGAGGAATTTGTCCACGCTTACGATATTAAGTCAAAAATATTCGAAGCACGAATTGAGAATATTAAATACAACAATAATAATAATTATATTGAGTTTGTTTCAATCAGTATTGTCGATTCAGTTTGGAAATTTTAGCCCGTTATAGATTACTGAATCTAATGTTGTGTCTATATAGCAGCATGGTGAGGGGAAAGACAAATTTAACAGTTATAACTCAGCTTATATGATGTTCACACTTTTGAAAAAAAGAATAAACAAAAACAAAGTATTGAGAGGATTATTAATGTAAGAAATACAATAACAATAATGTTTGATGTAGTTAGGGTTGAGGAAAAGGTATACCGCCTCAGTACTACTTGAACGGAAGGTAAATTGCGTTAATCATCAACAGGAGAGGGTAAAGCAAGTTAGGAAGTCACTCAAGTACTCACAAAGTGTTATATCAATAAGAAAGCTTACTAAATATTTCGAGCTTAGGTTTCTAACACTAAGAAATATATTCGACTGAATACAGTGACTTTCTGATAGTTAATATGGCTACCCTTCCATTCCCGTGTGCTTTAATACTCGGAAACATGTGTCAACTAAATTCAGTGCGAAGTCCTGTGTGCTTATGTACTGAGCTTCACTAAAGCATCCTAGATGTTTTGAAACTATTTCCCTTGTGCAAAGCCTTGCAGCTTCACAACTCCTCAGTGACACTTCTATGAGTACAAAGGTATGAACATAACAATTGAATATGATCAATGTTATAATGGTGTTTGATAGTTCTTAGGCATTATGCCATTCGTCGTGTGAGTCACCACCTAGTTGCTATTGTCGGACATCCAGAAGTTTTGAAGTGGTTTGGGAGCTAACACTCAGGAGAAACTACTCAGATTGGACTTGACTTTTCTGTTATTGCAATTTGCGGATAATAGATTGGGTGCAATCATATATTACTGCATTTAGAGGAAAAGAAATTTCTTGAATTTCATTATATACTAAAAATAACAAGTCGTCTGACTAGTGACGTAATGCAGACTACTGTTTCCTTGATATCTGGAAGTCTTTATCACCTCACACCTAGGTCGATGTTATTAGGATCAAGCGACAATGTTATTTCAATAAACCAAGTCAACCAAATGAGTCATATAGAGTTTAATGTATTAAATGAAATTTTAACGAACTTCGATGATGTCGACGCTAAAAGGGAACAATACACTATCACCTCCTAGTATTAATCTTTTGAACTTCCTAGAAAAAAATACGTCATGATACCATAGTTCCTCTACTTAACGTTTCTTCTCCAAGATGCATTTAATGCTAAAATGTGCCTCGTTTTCAGAAATTGGGGTTCACTAATTTTAGTTTATCTGTGCATGTGTGACATGCATAACTTGTGTTGTACTAATGGAAGCAAGTAACTACTTCTGACGAATCCTAATTAGACGTTTAAATAACATAAAGAAAACTACTGACCTTGTACAGAAGCTTATCCACTAGCAGTCAAGTAATTCGCATAAAATAGATTCCAATTGGGGGTTGTTTCGAAACTGGATTTCAGTGTAGAAGTTTGCAGTGCATTCAGATGTGCAGGTTGCCACGATTCACAGGTGCCCATAGACTCAAGGCTAAGAGAAACTAGTGTTTTGTGTGTCATGTGATGATCATTATTATTACTACCACCTGCATTCACCATCACAACATACAAATCTAATAAAAACACCGAAACTTTAAATTCAACTAAATATTTGCAGTGTAGAAGTGTCTGTATTTTCGTCTGTTTGGATAACTTAGTCTTGAATGTTAGAGGACGAATGTTTGGTGAAATGAAGACCACCACTGTTTGTACTGTGACTGGATTTATCAATCGAAAGTTCACCTGGTAAGCCAAAGGTCTCAGTAAGCAGCGTAGCATATGAGATTTCTGAGATAACGTGAGGTAGGGTGTGATTTATCCTGGAACAATAATTATCCCGATAGAATAAGGATCTTTTAACTACTTCTAGGACCTTTAAGGAGATAAGAATACCAAGAACACTGTTAACTGATATTATTAATACCTGGTACACGTTAATTCTGGTAATACGTGGACTGAGAATTACGAGCATACAATACTGAAAGAGTAACATACAATGAAGTTATGTATATTGTATTTCAGAACTTTCCGGTTTATGAACATTAACTCATGGGTGCGAGTTACAATCCAGTAGATTAAGACGTTCCCCTATTGAGAAAATGAAATTGTACAGCTAATTATTGTAGAAAAAGTATCCTACAGTGATTCAACACCACCACAACTTCCGGAACATATTGCTGTGACAGACATCAACTGTAATGACATAGGAGTGATTATGACCTCAGGTGTGCATGAATAAAAGCAACGCAATGACTTAATACATCCGCCCTCATCATTGCTGTAAAGGATCAGACAAACAAATATCATCATATCCTTGAATTCCTCGGAATAGTTATTTTTTAAAATATCATGGCTTAGAATAATCTCTCCATGTGATCCTCAAATTGTGAGTGTGTGACTCAAATTCAATTCAAAATGTCTGCATCTGAGTGTGGTCGAGCTCGTAATGTTTTTGATGCTCTACTGACATTTGTGAAAGTTGAAAAAGGTTAGTGCCGAGTAGCTGAGTGTATTGCAGATTTTGTATTCAATTAGCACTAATTTCAATGTGATTCTTAATAAAATCACTTCCATTTCAACCACAACCGTCATAAGTGTGACAATGTAGTTTTGTTATAAGTTAATTTCCCACTTGAGGCGCAATTTTCGCCTTCTGCTTTACACATGATGCAAATGTTAACATTCTTTATCTGAATGCATCTGTTTCCATGTTTAATTCGAATCAGTTTAGATGTATTGGTGTTGCTCACTGATTACCCGACTTTTCAATTTCTTTGTTGATTTATTGTCCTGGTATATTGACATCCAAAGCGGGAGCACTTGAGTGCTTATAACTGATCAGTTCAGTGTGCTTAATTGATCGTGAAACATATTCTTGTGTTCAATAATACTTCTTTGTCGTCAGGCAATGAGGAGACGTATTTTCGAAACCCTGCTGTCAATATACTTCAGCCATACGTTATATATGTGTTACCACAAGATGAACATCACTTATGTCTATGTGATGATGGATCTGACGGTCAAGGGGTAACCGTAAGGACTATGTGCCATAACCAAATGACGATTGCAGTAAGAATATGACCTAGTTCCTCCTAGATGTTGTTAGTTGAAATGCTAAGCCAGTTTCTATGGCTAAGTCGATTCCGGAAGGTCAACAATCTGATTGGTTGTTTCCGTTCAATCGTGGTAGTGTATCTATAGCTGCTGGTTACATTTTTGTGAAAGTGATAAATCTTCAGTCCAGTTGTGAAAAAACTAGCAAAAGTTAAAATGCTTTCGATATGCATATTTGTTCAGCTTTTGCTAGTGCATATTGACGAGGAAATAGGCGAGAAAAGAATCCATGATATACTTCTGGATTCCCGTGTTTATGTCTACGTTTATTTGTGTATACCAGTAATTGTAGTGCGACTTGTCAAGTCATTTGATGTGCTAAACACTTGATTTCATTTTTGAAATGGGTTAAACTGAGCGAACCGTGTTTCAGTGCTTTTCAGCCCCGTGCTTCTGCTTTTTCAGATGAGCTCTCATTGTCAGCTTAGGTGTTGTTATCAGCTCCCCATCGTTGCCGGAAATGGCGTTAAAGATTTCCTAAGTGTTGTAGCCAAGGGTACATTGGTGATGTAGGCTACAGATTTTCCTATGCTACGAATTTCTGCATTCACTTCTGCTTGAGCTTGTTAGTCTTGCCTGCTTACTACTTCCCTAATAAGTCTAAGTCCATGTAGCATAGGTAGATTTAAATAAGGTTAAATAAGAATCTGACCTTTAATAATTGTTGCTTTAACTGCAGGTAAAATGTGAAACTGTAGTCCTTATATTCAGCCTAGTCATCGATGTGACGTAAGTATAGATCTATAAGGTCCATGACTCTTGAAATTCTTCCGAATTAATTGTATTGCAGCCGTTATATCACTTCATAGTTTGAGTTGAATGGAGGTTTATGGTGTGGAGTAACCAATCTCCACATGACTGTTCTGTACAGATGGATGGGTATTAATGAAGTTGTCTTATCTCCAATACATGTGTGATATCCGGCTACTCATGAAACCAGTGTTAAATGTGCATATGTTCGCTGTGAGGCTAAAGGAGTAATGTTTGTGCTTGTATGTGCTTCTGTAAATGTCCACGTGAGATACAGCGATATACTAAGTAACAACGAGACTAGGCTGACAGATTGAGTTTTCCACCCACAATTTTGCACAGAAGTTTGTGAAGTTGAAGTTGCCTCATTTAATAGCTCATAAAGATTGAAGATTTAAAGAAAGTATAATGAAGATAAATGTACGGGAGACCGAATGAGCAGGTAAAGTCTAACGAAGTTGATGGTTCTAGTAGTTTATGGAGAGTGAATACATGTGCGTTTTTGAGGGAGATTTTAAGTCATTTGATGAGTGAAGTAGGTTGAGGAAGGCAGGTCAACTACTTGTAATGTCTTTCTGCACCTGTGTTACACCCACTGAGCAACCATATTCCTTGATGAGCGATGTCTACCGAAGAAGACTAGTTTGCTGCAGAGTTGTGTGTATGGTCAAGCCGATATATTGCACCAGTGCACCATCCAGTCATTCACTGTTAGTCTGAGCGAAGTAGGATGTGTGGACTACCTGGCTTGGACGTTGAAGTTGCTACGAGTTAGACGCTAGAGATTTTGTGGTATGGCTTACTATTGTTCACGATGACTCCAATGTGTTTATACTTTGAGGTTGTGAGAATGCAAACAGATGTCTGGTTTTTCTCGTTGCCGTAATTCTTCGTTCATCATTCTATTGTCTACACTGCTTTCTGTTTCTCCGAAATGTAGCAAAAATATTCATTCAGACATCTATAAAACACAAAAGGATTGAGCAAAGAATATCGTTTTCGATAAATTCCTCTTCTGGCTCTATATATATGTTTATATACATAGAATATTCTAGCTTAGTAGTCAATAACAATATTAGTGTTTTTAAAATAATATCGATTTACAGTTCATTAAATATGCTTGAATTATAATAATAATAAAGATATAATAGCAAATAGAATATCATCAGAAATTAGGAAATTCACAAAAATTCGGGATCATTCAAACCTAGACGGCCAGAGTAAGGATAATGTCTGAAATAACTTTTACGGATGCACAAATTAGGCTTGTTAATATGGATCCCAACAGCTTCAGCAATATTTATTAGTCGAACTCTTGAGGCAAAATTGAGATTCGTAGGTATGTGGTAAATGCTGAAAGCATGGTTAACATCAATCTTGTGTTCTGTATCCACAAGATGAGATAGAATAGCGCTGCAAATAGATTTTGTTTGTTCTTTGCTTAACCACACAGGCTGATGTTAGGAAATTCGACGAGAAACATGCCTAATTGTATGGCGTGCTTAAGTGAAACGTCAGTCACCCAGATGACAGATCTGTTTGACAGAGATTTGGACAACTGTAGTCTTCTTGACATTTTGATTAAATATTAACAACCTGGGGTGTGTGTTGACACTTACTAAGCCTTCAGGTGTTTGGCATTCGCTGTCGGTTGAAACCACAAGATGATCGACTTATAGGAGATGAATGGCGAGTAGGTAAAACGAATAATCCAGTGGAGAAAATTATGTCCGAGGTGGGAAGGATGTAGATTGTGCTTGCTTATTAACCTCTGCGTTAGGTCTTTACGCAAGTGGATGCAACTACAAATAGTTGTTTAGTTTGTTAGGTATTGGAATCAGTAGTAGTCGAAAGATTAAAAGCCACTCAGCAGTCACAGATCTTAGAACATGCAGTAGATTACGAATCCAAACTAGGTTATTTTTCTTTGAAGGCTTCCGATAGTTTCATGAATATAGAAATACTCAACTACATGTGATTTTGTCAGATTTCACCACCTGTTTTAAACATTTGACTTGGTCAATCGATAAGTATTGTGACGATGTAACAATAAAAATGGTTCTGAGAATGTTTGTTTGAGTAGTGATGTATAGATGCTAGTGGAATTGGTGTAGTCAGTTGTATTTGGTTCTGTAGACTTGTTTTTCAAAGTACTCACTGTGGCTGTTGATGTTTGATTTGAGGAATTGACTTAGTAGAAGAATTGAACTTTCATTAGATTGTTGGTTTAGTTGGAAAGGCTTGGATTTCATGACTCCTGTTTCAAGGATGTGGAGTGAAGTGGCAGAACGTGTTGCCCGTTAGGTTTTGGAGTACTAGGTGTTGGTAGAATGTGTGGACGAGTCTGTAGACCTTCTTTAGCATATGCTTATTTTCGTTGTCGTTGATTATGTCAGATGAAGTATGTAGCAGCTCTCTGTGAATAAGCCTCTAGACCTCCTTTTGAATTTGTTGGTATTCGTGTTTGTTGGTTGAGTAATGTTTCGTTACTCTTACTTGTCATTCCTCCACATTGAATGAATGATTAAACCATATGTGCATATCTGCAATGGAAGCCCGAATGTTCGGAGCAGGAATTACAGTATATTCGGCATACTTTTTTCTCCTGTCAAATGTAGTCTCTTGCTACAGAACTTATCTGTACCAACCTTTAGTTTAAGAATAAAGACTTGAAATGGTCGATCGTGCTGACCATTTCACTTATGAGTAAAGTTGCATCAGCCGTAATTGACCTATTAACTTCTTGAGGGAATCTCGTCATGGATACAGTAGGGCCGTCTGGCACTTTCCAACTTGCAACATCATCCTTTGCGTAGATATGATATCTGGTTGGCTATTGAGCAAATGACGAGTGTACTGCGCAGCAGTTCACTGCATCCTTCTTAATGACTGTGAGGCATAGCCATTGAAGGTATAAGTGCACAGTTCACGCATAAGAATGGGACATGAACAATGTGTTAATTGTACGACAGATTATCATGTTCTGCTTTAAGTGACACGACAGATGGTGTTGCCTATTGACGACTTTGTGTGTAAAGTTTATGGTTCATAGTCACGTGTTGAGTTGTGAAATATTTTCATTGTAAGTCACTTAATACTGTATCATATCCATGCAAGCTTACTTATAGTTGTATTGTTTTGCCACTTTTAGATGAACCAGTTACTTCATGTAGCCAGGTGACTTCATCTTCAGATGACAACAGTGTTCCACTGATAATTAAACCGGAACCTGTTGATTCATTGGAAGCCAATGCACAACATAATATCCACTCGTGTCACAGCAGTACTCGAACATCCAGTTTTACAACTACTCTTGACACTAGCCATGTGAATAACTTTGTAAACCAAGTGCCAGTCATTCGTGAAAACACTTGCCTAGTTGACGCTGACTCCAGCTGTCGGTCGTCCAACAATTCGGATGCTTTGCAGTCAGTATCCACTCCTACTGTGACTGGAACAAGCACTTCTTCCGATTCAATCAGTTCAGTACATGATAAGGCTTCAAGCAACCTTTATTCTTCCGCGGCTCAAGTGGCTATTTCCAGCGTTACTTCGGTAACGTCGCTTACAGCTTCATCAATCATAGAAAATGTCTTTGCAGAATCTAAATCACCTGGGAATGATGTAAATAATTTGTTTTCTCTTCCTCTTCGATTGTCAACTGGTTTTGTTAGTGATACGCACATTGAAAATCCTTTGATACGTGAATATGTCAACCAGAAGTGTAATAGACTACGATATCCTCTTCAGTTGGCTTTAGAAATGTCGAAATTGTATTCACCATCAAAGTTGCCTGTGATATCGACAGACAAGTCGCCTATTTCGTGTGATCAGTATGAAAGTTCATCGTACAATATTCAGCAACCGGATCGTGGGTACTTGGAAATAGATGATAGTCATTTCAGTGTTAATTCTTCCACTCTACCTGCCAAAACCAGTACTGTAATGGTGCATAACACGAGTCAACCTCGTACAAAAGCTCAACTGCGTGAAGTAAGCACTATAAACGAGTCAACTGAGACAACACCAGAAAAGATTACATCAGAAAATTGTAACAATGAGTGTATACAATCAGAAGGCTGTTTGTCACACAAAGAAAATATGGAGGTATCAACTTCTGAGGTTGTAGTCGTGTCTGTAAGTTAGAAGTTGTATTTATTTTTCATTCGCCTTTGTCATAGCTTACATTCTGCTGATTGATGCTTGTGATACGATAGGATAAGTTTAACGTTGGTTAAAGGTGTGAATCTGGTGAATTGACTGTAATTCATCCAACTCACTCTCCCTTTTAGTTAAATTTGTTTCAATGAAGTTCTCAATCGAAATTAAATTACTGGTTTTCAGTATAATCTCTGTCAAGGTTTATCCTTTGTGTCTGCCATGAAGTAGTAGTAAATGAGCTTGTGTATATGAAACTGAAACTGTTGGCAATTTCAGATTTACAGGTATTTTGCACTTACATATGTATGTAGGTTTCCACCAATGGGGTATCAGGTTTTTATTTCTGTTTCTATAAGACATTTGGTTAACCTTGTGAACCTTGTTTCTTTTCAGGATGACGAGGAGATATGCGAATCCTGTAGGTAACTGAATATTTTTACGAATTGTTTATAACCCATTTGATTTTATTGTACGTTTGTGAATTGCTTACACTAGGCTGAAGATAACAGTGATAGAACTCTCTCTCTCTCTCTCACCACGGTAGTGTTACAATAATTTGAATGGAAAGTGAGGCTTGTTGTTTGCTCATTAAAATGTTGTTGTGGAAAACAGACAGCTGTTGAATAGCTCACGATATTCAACTAGCTAGACTTACTCCCATCCAACTTTCATTGCATGTCGGTTTTTATTAGTTTTTATTTATTTATGCTATTTTGTGAAGTGTTTGTTTGCAGGGATTTGATAGGTTACAGGATTGATGATTAGCTTACCTCAAGAAAATAAGTAAAGATACTTATAAAGCTCATTTATGGCACCTTCATCACTTCAGATTACTCTCGGAAAGAGATGAGAGGAGAAATTCGGTGAAGGTTTCCCGTTGATTATGATTCTCGACCTTCGTTCTCTCTCCCATGTTAGGTGGCATAGTAGGGTGCGTAATTATTGAGGTTAGGCGTCGAGTACTGGGGAAGGAGGGGAAGTTACTCGACGAGGTTGTGAAGTCACACCGGTTGATATGGTTAGAATATTTGTTGCGCATGCTTAGCCATCGCCTTCCTCGACCGGAGATGTTAGCTGACATAGGATGGATCAGGTTGGAAAAGAGCTAGTGATGAACAAACCGAAACATGGCTTCATCAGTCACTGAAATCCACAGCAGTTTGTTCAAGCCACGCAGGGAGGTGTAAACTTCCTGGTTGGGGTCCTCGGGATTGTGAAATCCAGAGGTGGAGACAATCGGTGATACGGCTCAAAAGCCTTCTCATTAGCTGGCGAAAATGCATTCACTGTTTGTGATTTATCGTATTCAGTAAAACTCTATTGTTCTTCCATATTACTACACTTTTTGCCTCACAATTCTGTTTATCCTCTCTCTTTTGAATCTCTCTTTATTCTCTTCTTTTGTTTTGTGTGCTGCATGGAGGGAGAGTGACATCTTGAACTGCTGCAAATCTGTGCTAAGTCCTACGTTGAAAGCAGTCATTCAGTCATATTACCGGCTTTAAGTGATCAGGTCTCGAGTCGGTGATTGGAATCCTCTGGAATCCCGCCTAGGTAGTTGTGATTCACCAAGAGATACTAATCCAGTGCAACTGTCTTTCATCTTATAGGATCACATTGTAGACTGAGTCGGCCTCCCTATTTTCCACCGAGTCCTAGTGCTAGCTAGGAAACTGTAAACGGAATTGGATCCTCTGCGTTGACATTCGTGTAGCACACGTCCAAACCATCAAAGCCGATCCGCTAAGATGACAGCACTTATTGAAAGACGATCTCAACTATGAACAAACACGTCGCTGGACCTCAAAGTTACTCACATGATGATAACTCTGGATCCAGGGATTTCTAATGAGGTGGCGATGTTCACTAACATATGGTCTTCATATATGCTTAACTCAAAGGGTTTATGTTTCACGGACGTTAGGCAAGACTTACACTTACCGAAGAATGGTAATGCTGACATTCCAAAGTCAGACTATTGTTAAGACGGCGCCAGAACTGGCACGGTTCGGCATATGCCGCTTTCACTGTACGAGTACAGGTCTGATCCATGACAACTCTACCAGGACTCACACAATCACCTAGATATACGAATTTGGTGACTACCTCTAACAGACCATCTGTGAGGGTGAGTGGAGGTACAAGCTCTTGCTAATCTTGCAACAATACTTAAATGGCTTAGAATACATACCATATTGACAGACGCTAATCACCAACTGATTAGGTGCAATTTGAGCAGCCTATATGTTATTGCACACTAAGATGGTGTCTCCATGCTTCAGGTCAGAAAGTCTTTTAAAAAGCAACAGAGCCGCATCAGTGTCACAGATATACACACTTCAGAGTTGTCTTCAGAATGTCATCCTTGATTGCAATCCATCAGTGCATAGGCAGCGATGACAAATAAACAGCTCTTCGCTGGTCGATTGTCTGTTACTCCGGTATAATCTTCTAGACTCTCAGTGCATCAACTACCATTAATGGGGTTGAATTCGAGTAATGCATCCTCGGTTGTAGGGTGTAATGCTCATCGACACCAGCTAGACGGGGTATCGATGTCACTGAACAGCATACGTTTTACATGCCATTTAAACTTGTAGATGACGGAAATATTCAAAGCTTTTCTGCACTGCAATGTTGTATTCGGGTCAATGAGATGCAACAAGGCTTTCCAGGGTTCTGACCAGACCTGTTTAGTTTGCATCAGTGTGAGGACGTTGTGATTGGCGAGCTTCAATGCGACACGTGGTTCTAGAATAGTTGTGTTAGGTAGCATACTTGTGGTCAGCTTTTTGAAGGCAACCAATTAAGAATCGGGGTTTCCCAGCTACTCTAGGTGAACTCCATAGTCCACCAGTCCGGTTATAAGCTGTGAATATTCCTATTCGCTCTTTACTTTTTAGAATACTACGTGGCGAATATGGGTGGATCAAGACAGAGGCTATGAACGTATTGCCATATGACAGCGTTTCGAAAAGAAGGAGTCTAAACACCCTCGTTTATACCATATCACTAATTACTAATCAGCAGACGGAAGTGTTTTACTACATCACATTGGATTAATGTATTTCTGTTATCTAAATAAACAGAAAACTGCACTAGAGAGAAGTGCAGTGTTTTGCTGTACTTCACAACAGCATCAGTCACTAATAAAAGACAAAATTACTGGAAAATAATCACACAAAGATTATTAAAATGTTGAAACTCTTCAATATCACAACGAGTGAGTAAATACAATGCATCGTCCAGACAGTTACTCATTACTAGTTTGCAACGTGTTGATTGTTGAAGCTCTGGTATCTATATAGTTTGAACCTACATCTCGAGACTACTTCATGGTGTAGGTGTGTGTGTGTACCTTGATTCAACCACCTTTAGTTTCCCTGCAATCTACCACTGCTTCAGGTAACATTCATGGGTAGATCGTAGTGAGCAGAAGATTTCAACCACCTCAGTTACCCTAGGCCTACAGCTGCATCAGTGCTTCCTGTATGTATACAGGTCATTTTGGATAAACACTTCTGATGTGATGTGTCTCCCTGTAGCCAGAATACACATCTAAGAAACTTATTGACCCAAACATTTTGTCACTCTCATTCTTTATGTTTAGTCAGGGATTTGATGTAGTTATCTGTCTCCTACTTTGACAAAATTTTCCTCTTGCTAAACTGTTTTGTGTACTTAACTTTGAGATTATTGTTGTGATTTGACAACAATGTTCTTTGAGAGTTCAAATATGGTGGATTCATCTTAATCTATAAAGATTTTGTTGGATCATTGCTGGTGTCCACCTTCGAATTGTATGATTTTGTACCCATAAATAAAAGATTGTAAGAAAATTTGAGTAGTGTGTTGAAGAGGAAAATTTGGGAATACTTTAATACTCTCTCGAGTGTTCACCTAATCTCCTTTATCGTTAATTTCATGTGAAAAATCGAGGTGTCTGCTGAGTTATTTGTAATTGTGAACCTTTTAATTCTTTGTAAATTGTGATTGAATTGTTTCAGCTGAAGCACACCGTGAAAGTTTGTCTACAGTGAGAAGAAATAAACGTGGTAGGCGGTCTCAACGGTTACAGAGTAGTTGTGGAAAGCGAAGAAGAATATCGTCTTCTACAGCATCCCGGTTACAGCCTACGACTGCCTCTGTGAGTAAATATTTATTAGTTCTTATAATATTTTATATGCAGTGTGTTGAGCGTGAATGAGGACTGAGTTTGTTTCTGTTGTCGGACGATCTGATTTATTCTGATCTACTGTTTTGAATCATGTATATGCGTTTCCCCAGCTGACAATGATAGCATGATATTGTACTATTCTCTTGAGAATTATACTCGAGTCTTTTGAAGTACTCTACCTCATATGGAAATATTATAGATGTTGCCATTACTGTGTGCACTTTTAGTAGCCCAGCTGTTTCTGAACCCTATCCAAGTGAGAAATCTAGAGGTTGGGTGTACTACAGCATTGCTATGTGATCATACAGAATCATAAAGCAGAGTGTAACAAAGTGGTGGCTATAAATGCCTGTTAGGCAAAGAGGAAGGAGGTATTGTTGATAGCAGTTGCTTTGTTTATCGAATCAACTGATTGAGAATACTCGCGAGGTGACTTCATTAAATGCTTCATTCGGACATTTGAAGTCTCACCACTAGTGTGGTGGTATACGGGGAGAACGTGAATTCTAAGAATAGGTCGAAAGCGGGTATAGTTCCATTTGTAATATTATTGTGAACGGTATATATTTTGTGTTTAAGAGGTCATGCGCTTAAATGACGCTGTTTGATTATGCAATGTATATTGAATGTAGAAGACAAGAGACGTGGTAAGGGAATGTTTATTAGGAATTTTGGTGTGTCTATATAGCGAAATTATGGACACCTTATCTGCAAACGGTGATTTGCACAGATCTTCTGTGTTGTTCTACTTCTGCCCCACTTCGTATTCTATTTTTTGTCTTTTTTCCGTGTCTCCCATGTTTTGTCGCGACACTGACGTCAAATCTCTCTCTCCACTATTTGACATTTTTAAGTCGATGAACGTCTCTCTATATACTACTGATGAATTTCATCAGCAGGACACGCCACATTCTTGAGTCTCGCTCAACATGAAAGTGTGAATGCAGGCTTCCTCAACGACTTTGTATTCAGCCTCTTAACTAAGAGGTGTTTTACACTTTCCGCTAACTTCATGATCAGGTTCTACGGTTAAATATCCAACATAATGAAAGAATGATTCTTGTTGACAACATTAGTGGTTTTTTCAAAGGTGACAAGGAATCATTAACATCAGAATTGCAAAAGGTATTTGCAAATAGATTGTTATCAAAGATCATAGTGCAAAATATATGTATGTGGTAATGGGTATAATTGTGACACTAAAGGGAACACCAATATTACGAAGTAAATGATTATGAATGACAAAGAAGATATGTATATATATATATATGTATAGTAGTGAATTGTCATGAGTTATGTTCATGCTCAATACTACTCATATTGATTAGGAACTTCAAGTGGAAGAATGTTCATTGTTGAGGATGGTGGGGATGTGGATGAGATAAGAAATTTGGAGCAGAAGGTTATGTGCGTTGTGTGTGTGTGTGTGTGTCAGTGTGTAAGTTAACCACTGAGTTTAATTAGGAAATGAAAAAGGTTAGTTAATGCATTTGCAATAACGAGGGGTAGGGGAATTTACATGTACAGGATGGAGAGCCATATCAAAACAGGTCTATGCAATAAGGTATTCGGGAATTCTCAGACTCCAGAGCAGTGCCAGAGGTTGGACCTGTTGCTTCTTCCCACACAGCAACTGTTGTTTTAGGTGAATTGCAGTAGCCTCTATTATTTGGAGTATTCGGCACGTGTATGGTTGTGGGAATTTATTTGGTACCCGATCGATAATAGAGAAGGATTCTTCAATGCTAGCTGGCGTTGTGACCAGTTTGGACCAGGTGGTCTAATATCGAACTGTTGATGTTTTTCGCTACACTATTATTCAGCCACACTGGCAGGTGTTTGCGAGCATGAGAAATCAAGTTCTTAAGGCTACGGCCAATATAACTCACTCCACAAGCAGCACAGTTGATTTGGTAGAAACAAGAAGGGGTACCTAGCTAGCTAGTCAAGGTACTCCATCTTTCAATTGAGGAATCACAACCAGTCGTGCAGAAATTATGACTTCTAAAATATATAGTGGTCTATTATTGAGTAATAGGGGGTGACATAATTGATATAATTACTCAGAAGTGGCTTTAGAAGTGAAAATTAAAAGTTGTAAATTACGTGGTACTCAACGGAACAAGGATAAAATTTGATAAGGTTAAAATTGGTATTGAGTCAGAAAAAAGGTATTTGAGTATCAATTTAACAAGTGTGAAGAGGGTGTGAAAATATACAAAAGGAGCATATGAGAGTGATAATAGTGAATTAATTATTAAAGCAAAAGCAAACTAAAAGTAAGATTAAAAATTACAAAAAAGAAAAGAAAAAATCAAAATTTATTTTTTAACAGGAAACGATTAGTGAGAAGGCTAAGACCAAGGTAGAAGAAGAGACTAGACAAACTTTTTCTGTATACAGAGTTCAGGGTTGTATTGATGAATTGCCAGCGCCTCGGCCATACGCAAAAGTTTGTCCAGTCTCTTATTCTACCTTGGTCTTAACAGTCTCACTAATCATTCCCTGTTAAAAAAATATTTTGATTTTTTCTTTTCTTTTTTGTAATTTTTAATCTTACTTTTAGTTTGCTTTTGCTTTAATAATTAATTCACTATTATCACTCTCATATGCTCCTTTTGTATAATTTCACACCCTCTTCACTCCCTGTTACTTAATAATAGACCACTATATATTTTTGTGAGTATAAATACGACTGTACAGCCTCTGAAAATGATTTCGTCGATAAAGAAAATTTTCTTCGCTGAATCTGTCTTTTATTTTCTTCATGACTCAATGGGTATTTTCGGTAGTATAACTTCTAGTTTACCGGCATTAAAAGTTCTTCGATAAATGGATTTTCTTAATTTATTAGTAATTATTTCACTAGTTGCGTGACACCCTTGAATTGCAGCCGTTTTCACAAAGGCTTCTTATTTACAGATAGAGAGTAGTCCTGTTCTACTTACTTTCTTGGTCATGTGTGTCGGCAAGGTTAAATTTTCGTAGCCAAAACACGGTAGCCCTGAACAACCAATCAGAAATCCGATGCAGAAAGCCGCATAATCGTTGAAAAATTTACTAAAAAAATACTGCAAACTCAATATAGCACTGTATAGTTGTAGCTCACGTATATGCCAATGTCTCCCAGTCACTACACAGATGATTTATGGAGAAATTGTACCATGCGCGACATATCTATTCATCTAAGTCACTGCAAGTCATGATACTTTGAGATCTATTGATATTTCTAACACTATTCTCCAACCTACCCCTAACTTTAACCATAAACCTAACCTTAACCGCAGATCTTAAACTTTTCAATAGTTGGATTGTAAGGATTAGATTGTCTTTACGAGTTGATAACGGATTGATATCACTTAGAGAACCATTGAAAGCCAGGGAGTACTGGACAGTGGGTGCGTACTGCCGATGATTCCCAAACTACAATGAAACAGCTGTCCAGTACTCCAGTGCTGGCTTTCAATGGTTCTCTAACTGATATCAATCTGTGATCAACTCATAGAAATTAATCTTAAACGGCATAACACTAACTAACAGTATAGATTTGCGGAAAGAGTACCCAGTAAAAAAGTAGAATACTGTATCTACCCTCTCCAAGTCCAAAAAAGCAGGCATGATTTGATTTAGGATTACATTCCATAGCATTCCTTGTGTCTGGTCTGTTCTTCAAAGTCAATTTTTGAAAGACCCTGACTTTGGCTATGATACTTTAACTTCCGAACACAATTCATTATTGTTCATAATCATATAAATTATAAACACGACTTCAAAATATGAGTTTTATAGTTTTCTTTGTTATCTCCTATTTGTCATCGTTGGGATAGTAGAATTTTCCAGATATCTGCCTGGACAGGTGTTGAATCATTCCTATTACACGTGTTTGCAGTTGATTCGATAAGCAAAGCTTCCGTTATCAATCTCTCCCTCCACCCAGCTGTTACATTAGATTTAAAAACTGTCATCTTATCCCATCCAGCCTATTGTATGGTTGTGTGTAATTGCATGTAGTGCTGTAGCTGAACTATTCTCTAGATTTCTTATCTTATTCGGGTCAACTAATCTAGATTTTGCTAGGTTTTTATGTTCAGCTAGTCTGACTGCCCCTGTTCTACTACTTTGACCTGACAATCATTGCAGGGAATTAGATAAACTAAATTGTTGTTTTTAAAAGGTTCCACAGGGTCATTTAACCCACAAAACTTGTTTCTAATTGAGTTTGTGGGTGTGAATACCAGCCACTTTTATTCCTGTCTTGTTAAGAATTCTGCGTAAGGTTCCCGAGGTACTTTCTTTGTATGGAAGTACCACTGATGATTTATATTCTCTATTGTTGGTGTTGTCATTATCCTGCACATGTTTGACATGCACGTCGTCATTAATATCATTATTATCACTGTCACTACTATCATTATTTATTTTATTTTTACATTTCCCTACATACTTCCTGATTAATTTATCAGGGTAATTATTAAGTTTCAAGGCTTCTTTTATGTGTATCAGTTCCTGTCTTAGATTGTCCTTGGTACTACTTAGTTTTTGTGCTCTATTACTTAAACAATTCACCAATCCTATCTTTTATGACATAGGGTGGGAGGATCGGAAATCCAAATATCGGTTTGAATGTGTGGGTTTCCTGTAAACACTAGTGTTTAACTTCCCATCTTCTTTCCTTTTTACTCTACAATCTAACATTGGAAGCTCCCCTTCCTGACTTTTCAATTCATTAGTGAATTGAATAGCCTCCACCTTTGAGTTGATGTATCCGACAGATTTGTCTATATACTGTGTTCTGAGTACAATGAATGTGTCATCCACATATCTCCACCGTACTTTGTGGTGACGCTGAACGTTTCAATTGCTAAGTTTTGCAACTACATAAGTCAAAGTAGTAGAACAGGGGCAGTCAGACTAGCTGAACATAAAAACCTAACAAAATCTAGATTAGTTGACCCGAATAAGATAAGAAATCTAGAGAATGGTTCAGCTACAGCACTACATGCAATTACACACAACCATACAATAGGCTGGATGGGATAAGATGACAGTTTTTAAATCTAATGTAACAGCTGGGTGGAGGGAGAGATTGATAACGGAAGCTTTGCTTATCGAATCAACTGCAAACACGTGTAATAGGAATGATTCAACACCTGTCCAGGCAGATATCTGGAAAATTCAACTATCCCAACGATGACAAATAGGAGATAACAAAGAAAACTATATAACTCAAGTTTTGAAGTCGTGGGACTATAATTGATGAAATGATTATGAACAGCAATAAATTTTGTTCGAAACGTCTTGCAGTATCATTTATGATACTGTTTCACTGTGTGATATGTCTAATAAGCAAGCTAATATTCAATTACTTACTACCGCAGTTCCCAAGGTTTACACATATATTGTTACTTTAACTTCGTCTGTGTTTCTTGATGAACTTTTCTGTTTAGCTGTTTTCAATGAAGGTGTCATATGCAGTGCTAATTTCAGCTTCACTTACGTCTTCTGAACATATAGCTGTAACCCTGTAACTGAGGGTCCTTATTAAATTTCTCTTGTACTGGGGAGGGACAAAGCTATAGAAATGTTTGTATCGTCATGTCCATGTACTTTTCTTATGCAAATTTCTTTTTATTCTACCATCTGGTTTTCTTGTAAGAAGGACGTCCAGGAAGGTTATTCCATTTTGGAATTCCTCTTCACACGTGAATTTGATGTTTTCGTACTGATAACAATCAATCGACTAGACTGAATTTGAACGACAGTGATTTGATTCGATGCACCTGTTGATAAAGTCAAGCTTTATACCTCAGATGGTCATTGAGAACCTTCACTATCCTAAAGTTTATTACAAATCTCTACGTCGAAGCAGAGTTCATCCCAATAAGAAGACGCTGTAACGATATGCATCGAACGAGACCGACTCTTTATCTACGTACATACAAGAGAATGAAATGAATATCGCCCTCAGGCAATATTTACTAGATGAACTACCATAAGATCTTGGGACGCCTGAAATAATTCGTAAGAAGTTAAGAAAATCCACTCATCGAAGAACTTTTAATGCTGGTAAACTACAAGTCATATTTTCTACATGACCGGTTGTGATTCCTCAATTGGAAGATGAAGTACCTAGACTACCTACACTAATCTTGTCAATAACAATCATTCTTTCATTATTCTGAATATAAATTGTAGAACTTAATGGTTAAGTTAGCGAGGAAAATATTCTGTGTTGAGTAATCAGTATTTTGAAAGTCCTAATGGGCTTCTTTAATCACTTTTACACTTTCATAGAACATTTTAAGTACAGAGTTAAATGTCTCCATGAAAATCATTCAAATATTATTGAGTAATTCTCTCTGTTTTTCCTTCATTTGTTCTCGGTGTAATAGGAATGCTCACCAATGTCGAAAGAACAGTTAACCAGACTTAAATCGATGTCATCGCTTGATCTGGTTGGAAATGAAGATGCTAAACTTTTAAGAATGCCGTATTGTGTTTGTACGTATGCATCGCAATCTGAGAAGTACGTCATTGCTTATTTTGCAGTTGTTTCCTTGTTACTTTCATGTGACTCTAAAGTGTTTGTTACAATTGACTAGCCGCCGTGTTTTTGTCCTGCCTGAATTCATGAATGCACGGATGTCAGTGATTTTGAAAATCGCTGATTCGACTAGACCGTTCACACTCATCTGCTGTGTCGTTCAGGATTAATTTGGGGACTTGTTGCAGCCGATTAAAGCAGTGGTGTTGGAATATCTTTGGAGTTGTGAAAGTGAAGGCTACATATACGGGTTGATGGCTTTACGGTCATCCTCTGTTAATAAGAGTCTCCATGAATCTCATCTGTATGTCTACTAATAATTCCACTTGTGTTAGGATCGATAGTTTTCTCCATCGCTTACATGTTATGTTTGCTGAATCTACACACGTATGTGGTTAAGCATAATGAACGTTTGATAAATTTCTTAGTAGATATTCCCTGATGTGAACTGATATTTTGGAGAATACCCACATATTAATAGTGGGGAGGTGTATTGTCAAACGTGCGGGTAAAAGAAGTAGGGTAAATACCGTATGAAAAACTAATTATATTCTGAAAACATTCGGCTGACTATTGAGCAGCAATCAACGTGTTGGTGAAATCTGATTGATGTTTAGGCATTGATTGATTTGTTGTAATCCGATCGGTTGGTTATGTGAATCACCAGTATTTTTACAATTGCTATTCTGGCTGGTGCACTGTCGATCTAGTCTGTAGTATAGGGTTCCTAGAAAATATGGCTGGCTAATGATGCATAGACTTTAGTGGAACTGAAGCAGTCAGTTGTATGAGAGCTCGTGTGGACCTGTTGTTCAAGAGTAGGCAGTGTTTCCCAAAGAACTGAGTAAGTGAGTGAGTCTGATGTTTTAGTCAATGCTAGGTGACTGGATTCCACAGACTCCGATTTCAAAGATGTGAAGTGAAGTGGCGAAATGTGTCGTTCATTGGGTTTGAAGAACTAGCTGTTAACGAAATCTGTGGACGAATCCCTTGACCTCCTCTCACACTAGTTGATATTTGTGGTTTTTGAAAGTGTGAGATGAAGTATGCAGCAGTGCACTTTAATCTACTTGATGTCAATAAGTTTGTAATCATAGATGACTTTTGGCAAGTGGTCATGTTATGTGGAGAATATCAGGGTAAGTACCACTGGAATTTGGTGTTTAGTGTTATTTGAGTGGGTGGATATTTCTACCTTTATTCATTATACATATGCACACTCACACACACACACTCACAGAGTTCATTTGTTGACTGTTTTTGATTTTCTCTTTTAGACATAAAATGAAATCTCATTTACTACTTGGCGATGTAATACGAGTTTTATATTTGTTACTTACAAATCGTAAACACCAGCCGATTGCTTTACAAGTATTAAAACACTGTTGGCTATTCTGTCATCGAGTTCCCCTAGCTGATATACGTCTTTTTACATTGAGTGGTGGTTTATCATCACGAAACTCTGCTCATCTGTCTCAGTATCCATTGGTAATTTCAGAGCCATCACTACTATTTGTTGTCCGATGGTCCTCTGACAGTTTGTTGAAGCAGACACTAGACATTGCCCATAGCTGTCTACCACGTGACCGATGCTGGTACAATTGCTGCTCAGAAAGACTTCTACAGGCATTATCACGTTTAATATTCAGACCTGATGCGAAAAAGTACATTTTAAATGTGTCAAAATATCTTTCATCGAAATGTCGACAGATTTCAAATGCTTCTTCTTCATCGTCAGCAGCACCATTAGATGTGTTGTCGGATCGAAACGATCGTGATGATAGTGATGATGATTTTGAGTTACCTGCACCTAATCCGGTGGATGATAATATTATGCGTGAAAGAAATTTACACGTGGAATTGTGCAAGTGTCTTCCTGAGTCAGTTTCGTGTTTCCTAAGAAGGAAGATCGGCCTAGATTTGCACCACACTGCGTCTTTCGGATTTCTAATTGGCTCTTTTCATAATACATGCCTACATGTTCTGAGTGAGGCTAAGAAGACTCCAGGTTGTAATTCAAATGCTCAAATAGACAAGAGTGTCTCCTTGAATCTGTTCAGTAGTATGGAATGTCTACATCGAGTTATATCTGTTTGTTTGTGTCGATTATGTGATTCGTATGCATCACTTATGTCAGCTGGTGCTTGTTTGAAGGCGAGGCATAAACTCGCAAATACAGACACTAATTCTGTTCAATCACGTTCTTCTATGCGGCTAGCTCGTGGACGAGCTCGTCTTTTTGAATCGGAATCATGTGCACGAGATAACGTTATTCGTATATTAAGGGAAGAGGTTTGTGTTCCTCTCCGTAATGTGTTCAATTTCCTGGAGAAAATGTATCACACGTTGTGTAGTATAACATCGAGTGATTTCTTGCTTATCCCTTTCTTTGGTTGTGACAACAAGGATACTAGTTTACTGCCTTCAAAACAGTGTGTATTCGATTCCATTGTAAATAAACGAGGACTTGTTAACTTGAATGCGTCATCAAGAGAGCAGCGGGATTTTGAGACCTTCACGAATATTGCTTTCTTCTTACTCAAGTATCTCACCACCAATGTCTTCGAACATATTAGTGGTCTGTGTGAAAGTGTGTTTTCGTTGAAAGAGGAGTTATCAAAGACTTATTCCTCCATAATGGAGACTTGGGTGCCAGCATACAAAGAGCAGCTTCCCTCTGTTAGTCCACGTGCTGATGTTGATTTGAAGTATCTCTTCTCATCTTTGCAGAGTCAATATGATGCAATTGAGGCTTGGAGTCGACGTCAACATGAGGTAGAATTGAAGCAGATCAGTAGGACTATGATTACTTTTCTAAGACAACTTTATGATTGTTGTAAATGTCGGTTTCTGTGTGACGATTTAAAGTTACCATGCCGTAGTTTAGATATTCCATATGGTTCAAAAAATAGTTCATCCCAGTCTGTGTTGAATAAGTTCAATGTGAATGCTATATCACCATGGCCACCGCAACACTTAACTTTTGTTCCAGCCGAACATCCAATTCAAGGAAACTCAGCCAGTGATCTAAATAAAACTGTTTCTTCAACAAGCGGTGATTCGGCGGAAGACTTTGTTTATTCGAAAGGGACATTTTCACGTGATTCCTTGGGGAAGACGTTGAAATCTATGGTAATCACAGTGCATACTCCAAAAGTCAGTAGCAGCAGTAGTAGTCAAAGTGAAAGGCGTATCTCACGTGATGAGGTCGATGATGCTAATGCAAGACTGCTCAGTGATGGGTGTGCTGGAGTGAAATCTTCCATATCACACTCCGTTAATCCGTGTTCCCCTAATATAATTCCTCAGAAAAGATTTCTTATTACTGTTAAGCAAACAAGTTCAAAGAATGTTACAAGTATGTCACCTAACACCTCCTCATCTTTAGATTCTAATTCTCTTCGAACCACAGAGGTGATAAATTCGTCAGAATCTTCTGTTTCGGTGAATGAAAGTACTACTGATAAGTCAGAATTGAATTCTTCAAAGTTAGTTACTGAGATTGTTGTGGATGATGTGTCATCACTTGAGAGCTTTTCAAATCCCTTATCATCAGGAAATGCTTGTAATAATAGTCCTACTGAAGTTGATGTCGCGTGCAGAGAAAAGGGATCTGTTAGAAACTCATATGATTGTGAGAGAGAAGTTAACGGTAGCCAGTGTTCTCCTCAACCGGTTCAGGTGTGCAGTCCTGTGGTGTCAAAAGACAGTGATACGTCATCGGTCGTCACTAGTGCATGTGATTCATGTGGAAGTGCTTCTCAAATGTCAATTGATTCCCGAGGTGAATCATTGGCTCAGAGTGCTTCGGTTGGTGTAAGTGGAACAACGGAATGTGCTCATTCGGAAAACTTTTCATCAGGCAGTTGTATGTTGGTCTCAACACATAGTGAATGTAATGAATCTGAAGCGCAGTCTGTCCCATCAAACGTTGATGTGGACGGACTATCTTCTGTGTGTGTTACAAGCGATGATGTTGAGAATATGTCTTCACAGCCTCACACAGCTGAACCTACGGAAGATGTTGACGTCACTTCAAATAATTCTGTTCCTTCGTCTAATTCCGATGGGATTCCAGAAAGCCCAGGTGCTTCCACAAACAATCGCAATTCACCTTTGAAGGATTCGAGTTGCCAAGATGATCATGATGAAGAGCCGACATATTCTCTTGAGAACAATTCCGATGAGATATCAGAAAGTGGATCCCAGTTGTCGTCTGTTAGTACCGTTGTCTCAATAAACCGGGAGAAAGAAAAGTCAATAAAGAAGGTGTGCATTTATTTACCCAGTAATACTGTTGCTAACTTTCCTATTAAGAATATTGTCTGTCAATGTAGTAGTGGGGAAGAGCATTCAGACTCTGATCAGGTGAACAGTTGTACAATGACTCTTGATAGACGGCGAGTTGGGAAACTGAAACGGAAGCTGAAGAAGTTGAATCACTTACCTGTTGCTGAAACGAATACTTCTGAAATCTCAGAAACGAATTCCACCTCACAAATTGAAAGTCCCTTGTGCTCGATTCCGTCAACTAGCAACAGTTTTTCATTGATGGAGTTTCCAAATAGTTCACATAATTTGACTAATATCCGTGTGAAGCAACCGTTAAGTGATCTTGTGTCTCTGCCTTTTTGGCTGCAGGAGAAATCTCTGAATTCTGAAGCTCCTGGACCACTAACGGCTTCTGTATTAGGACTGTCTGTGTCCCCACTTTCAACTATTTCAGTTGACCTGACTTCTGATGAATAAAATCTCATCTTTTCTACAGATTAGTGTTATTGTTCAAGATCTTATTTACAACGTCCTTGACTTGTATAAATGTGTACATAATGCACTTGTGATATCTATCGATTTATAAACGAAGATTTATTTTGTGTATACGATTGTGTTTATTGCTATTCATTACTTATTTTTTCTATCTGAAATAAAAGTTAATTTAACATTTCTTGTATTTCATCACCTCTATAAGTGTTATCAATGTTGTTATTCTCTTAGGTTCGGATTGAAACACAGGGTTTCAACAGCAGATCTTCATGCTGTCGTGTTCTCTGTAGTCCTCTGTTGACTGTTCTACTTCTTCCGACGACTGTGCTTCCATCTTTTCTTCTTGTAGGCTTAACATCTAGGGAGGATAATTAACCTTCTGATTCTGCTCTAATTTTGAATTCGACTAATTGATGAAGATTGTTGGAGAATTCTAGGCTTTTATTATGTCAGTATTGTGATCGGTGAGATTAAAGATATCATCCGTATATCACTTGTAAACTTCAATCCGTTTGATTGTTGTTAGGCGAGGATATTTGACTCAAGGTACGCCATGAACCAACCGGTAAGCAATGAACCTAGAGCAGAACCCATTGCTAATCCATCTTTTTTGATTACATGTTCAACCATTGTATAAGAAGTGAATATTTAGTGTTCATCTCAGGATTTGTTCTTTGATATGCGTATTCGCCATGCCAACATTCAGATTATTTGAGTCGATAAGTGGACTTAGGTAGCGTACAGTTTGCGTTAAGGGGACGTTAGCGAATATCGAAACGATAGTTGATCCAGATACGTTCAGTTGACTTACTGATTCCACGAATTCAAACGTATCATCCCTTCGCATTTCTCCTGTTAATGGTAATTAGTGCTGGTTAAGTATTTTGATCATGTCTGTGTTCACTTGAATTCCGAGTTGGTGTGACATTAAACATAAGTCGTTAGCGTAGTCCAAATTTTTTAGTGTCATTTTGTCGGTCTTACGTATCATTGTCTCTATCCGCAGTGTGTGGCATGATCCAGTCCAGTAATATCGGTGATAGTATGTAACCTTATCTTACTCCTGTCTTCACTTCATATGCATCGCTGATTTTTCCGTTTTGGATCACTTGATATACGGCACCAACATGAAGCTGTTGACTCTATGGCCGATAAAAGTTCTGGACCCTCTGTAATGTTCTAACAGTTTCCAAATCGTTTTATGGAGGTCTTCACAAAGTCGATGAATTTGAGATGAAGGTTTGAATGTCGTTCTATGGTCTCTTCAATGATAATGTGTAGCGTTATGATTTGATCAGCATATTATTTGCCTTTCTAACTTGTTGCAGGGGGAGTTTTACATTTGGAGCATTTTTAGCCTCGCCAGGATGATGCGACTTAATATTTCGCTTTTAGTGGATGGGAGCATGAGTTCGCGCCAGTTTCTGCCAGGACGTAATTCTCCCTTCTTTGGTAGTTTGATGAGGGAGCCTTTCTTACAGCTAATAGATACCTTTCCTTCCGTCCAAACTTCTTGCAGTATTGTTGTAAGTATATGCTCTGCGTTCTAAGGATCCGTTTTCAGTTCTTCCGAAAGAGTTGTGTCTCATTCTGCCGCCTTCTTGGTTTTCAATAGCTTTGTAGCATTCAAGACTTCTGCTTTTGTCGGAGAATCGGTAAGCAACGTGCCACTTAACCAGCTTGTTAATATTCTGGTCGACAGGCACATGGACTCCTGTGAGAAATGGGCCAAGTCCATTTTATCTAACTCACACCACCCTCTTCACTCACAACTCTCCCCTTGCATCTCATCAGGTAAAACCAGAAGCCAATATAGAAAACTATATACTCGCACTAGCAAGTACAAAAACTCATCCATACCCTACTTAGCTCGTGTTCTGTGTGATAAAGAAAGCATTAGGCGTGACACCTATAATTCATTAAATAGTCAGTAGTACAACTGGATCTCGTCTTTCCAACTCACATCATCAATAGGTACAACATTTTCTTTCTTTCTTTTCCTTTTCTCTTTCTTCTTTTTCCGTTATGTGCTGCTTTGTTTCTTTCTCTCGCTTACGCCAGTTAATAAGACAGCTCCCACTTTTCTAACACCTTCAAACACTGTTTCAGCTTTACCTTTGCTACCGACATGCCAATGTATTGTTGTAACAATGAACTGTGGTTTCCTCAATCTATGTAGAATTCTATTTATTGGTAATGTACTAACTGGATGCAATACTGTAGTAAAAATGCTGAGAATTCCATTCTGTATCACATGTACTGTTTTGGAATAAAGCAATTTATTATTATCTACTGTCAGTCATGTGGCTATTTGTGGGATATCTGGACGTGTTGTAGGTGTTGGTTGGTTCAAGTGATCAGCCCACTGTTCTCTTCCTTTGTTTTTTTCTGGTGATTAGGTTCCCTTGACCATCTTTTATTGCCATCATCTGTATTGATCTCTTCTTGGATAGAGACCTGGTTATCTGATATAATGTCCTGTGCTGTCTCACCTGTGACTAATTCTGTTTGAGCTCCCAAAGTGTCGTAGAATTTTCTGTGTCTTTCTTGGTATTCTTCTGTACTTTATTTAGTAAATTGAAGTCAGCTTCTCCTTTCGTTGTCCATCTCTACATTGATTGGTCTTTCGTTTTGTCACCGCCTCTATCCTCCATGAGCTTCCAAGTGCCTGTAGGGAGCCATTGATTGTCTTACCTTTTCTGTCATCAAAAAGACAGCTACAGAGGCTTCCTTTAGCATCACTTTCAGAGAGTACCAGTGTTCTTCCACACAGGTTTCCTAGGTGATACTACATAGTGTCCCCGATTTTGTTGTGATGCCTGAAGTGAAGGTGTATTTTGTAGTTTTGGCCTTCAGTTTTTGTGTAATGAACTTCAATCATGATCTACTTCCAGCTTCTTTAAAGTCTTTCAACTTGAATTTAAGAGTTCCTCGGACTGGATAATGATCTGAGTTCGGGCCTGCTCCTGTTTGCGATTTTGTGTCTAGGTCAGCTGTCTCTGCACTTCAGATTCAAATGAAATGTATCTGATTTCCGCTGTATCTGTCTGGTGAAACCCATGTCGCTTTTCGTATATCCTAGTGCTCGTACACACTGCCTCCAATAAGCAAATCGTTAAAGGCGCAGAAGTCTAAAAATATTTCTCCATTCCAATTCATTTCGCCAAGAGCCTTCCGACCCATGATTGGCTTTTATTCATGTCACCTATTAGGTTTCTGGTGTCGTTATCTGACTTTGGTCTCATCCATAACTTTACATTTGTCTGTAGAAGTCTTTCTTCTTCCTTCGGTGTGCATAGCGAGAGTGTCTTACTGAAGATTGTAACTTTCAAATCTTTTGAATTGAATCTAAATGTCATTGTCCGAGATAAGATTGGTTCCCATTGCATAAGAGCTTTGACCGCTGTTGGTGATATCTTGATAGCCACACTATCAGTGTGCTCGTGGTTGTCGTCTGGGTGACGGAACAAGACAATGGACTCTTCGGGTAATAATTTTGGTAATCAACTTCCATTCTATCTGCTCTCACAGACTCCTAGCACCTATAAATCATATCTTTTCATTTCTTGGGCAATGCGAGCTGTATCCTCAGCTTCGGACATCGTGCAGACATCCTATATCCTCGTTCCTTATATATTGCTTTCAACTAAAGAAGACATCAGCTGACTGGCTTCTCGAAGATTCTCACCAACCCGTGTTAATCCGTCTCTCCGATTTCAACGAAGAAAAGGTGTATTCTTGAAGTAGCGATAGTATTGATTTTCGGACATGGAGTCGCCAGTCCCACACCGAATCCTCCCTATTTTTTGTGCTTAGGACCGGCTAGTAAACCAGATGAGTTTTCGTTGTAGAGCATTAATTCTGATATTAAAAAAGTATATTCCGGTTTGTTTCAATTTTAAGAAATTGACTTATTGCTTTAGGTGCAATTGAAGAACATACAAAATAATCAACGTATTAATTTGCTAGTTATCAGGGTTGACATGAAAAGCTGATTAGCTGTAGGGTTTAAAAAGACTGTCTCCAACTCTATTACCATAAGGTCTGCAAACTAATTTACGAAGCTGGATTGTTGTTGACCAGATAACTAAGTATCTGTGATCCTATACATTCATCTACGAGTCTGGTTCTGTGTATCTCAACTTCAATTATAACAGATCCATAGTGAAATTATCTCGGTAGATTCAAAAAATAGATCATCCTTTAAATAGTGGTTCGCAAAGTGTTAGATGAAAAGAAAGGCCTAGAATGTGTTTCCTAAAAACAACATTGGATATTTGGATTTTAACACCAGAAGTAAAGCTGTCGATTCGTCGTTGTATATATAGTGGACTCAGAATGTCCCATTCAGCTTACATAACACAAATAAGTAGTAACACAAACGTCCGTTTCTTATCTGAGAAAAGTACGACTCTTCCTCCTGGTCAGAAGAGATAAGTGTAACCAAACATGAGTGGAATATTTTCCATCTCATAGAAGGCGGTTTCCAATACCTCTCACCCAACAACAACAACCAATGTGTTTAACACATCTAGTGTCTGATTACTGTATAATAAGACTCACCGATTGTACAGGTGGTGCTTTCATCTTCGACAGGTGGTAATCATCCTCACCCTATTATTATATCCTTTCAACTGGCGCTATTGATTAATGTTGGCTTTATGTGTGAACGGCAGAAAATGGATTTTATATGGTTCAGCTAGTCAACGGGTCTTCTTATAAGTAAAACGAGTACACACGAATTGTTTAATTCACTAGTAATTATCACTTCACAGCTGTGCTGTATTACTTGGAATTCTCAGCCAGACAGCATAAATAATCGGACAATTTTTAATAGCGTTGGTGAAATGTGATCATCACATCTTTGTCTGGCAACCCTCGTCTATCCCCAAACCTGATCCTACTTCTACTGACCTAATGCACTGAGGTAGACAGTGAGTAGGCGTACATAATAATAGTAATAATCTTCCCAGCCATCTCAGTTGTTGAATTAACTGCCGTATTTCCATTTCATCATCATTATCTTCTTTATGATATTTTCTCGCAAATTTTAGGCATAGTTTTACATCCACGATGGTGAATTATCTAATGCAATATCGTTTATGTGTCTTTATGCTAAGCATATCCCAGTACCTGAGATTTCGGTTCTATCT